ATACTTGGACAAAAGTTTCTCCTCATGCTACAAATCTTGCATTCTTTGATTGCCACAGGTCAGAGATTTTGTTGCAGAACAGAAGTCTCTAAGGGGGATTGAATTTCACACAGAGGAGTTACCTCAGGCTATCCTTAAATCGGCAGATGGTTCACTATCTTTGAAAACTAACAAAGGAACAGTTGAAGGTTTTTCTCATATTATGTTTGCAACAGGCCGCAAGCCTAATACGAAGGTTAGATTTTTTAATGTTGTGGTCGTCTACTCTCTGCACAGGCCTTGTGGTCATGGTTCCTCTCTGTCATCATTTTTTTCTTACTTCAAATTTTGACTTGGTGCTCAGAAATTGGTAACCTAATAAAGTTGAAAGTGATCTAGCATGGAGAAGGCATACAATTTCTTAATAGAGCTTATATGAATTCTGTGCTGAAAATGTGTATGCTTAACCAATTTTCGATGATTGATACATGGACTCCTATTCCATTGCAGAATTTGGGGTTGGAGAAGAAGGTAGGGGTAAAAATGACAAAGAATGGAGCAATAGAGGTAGTGGCTTTGGTTTTTAAACTTCTCTTTTACTTTTATCACTTTATCTCTTTATCTCTCTCTAATTCTTCAACCTGGTGCATTTCCTTGTATTGCTTTCTGTTGAATGTTTCTTTAGGTTGATGAGTTCTCCCGTACATTAGTTCCATCCATTTGGGCTGTTGGAGATGTTACAGATAGGGTGAATATAACTCCAGTTGCTTTAATGGAGGGAGGGGCATTGGCGAAAACTCTTTTTAGGAGTGAACCAACAAAACCGGATCATAGGTATTTTACATATCCTGTGATAAATTATATAATAGTCTTAAGCATGTGGGAAAATCTCTGAAGTGCTCCTAGGGATGCATCAGTTAGTAGCTTATTGGGTTTGTTGGAGTTTAGGAGACCATTTAATGGCCATTGGACTGTTTTCTACACTCATTTCCTAGTTTGATCTGAATGTGGGAATCGAGGAGGCTATTTGATAACCCTTGGATTGTGCTTTATATCACGTTCTAGTTTCCAAGGAGAAAGTTTAGTTGAATATTTATTCAGTAATGGTGATTTAAGTTCATGACCAGTAGCTTTCTGACCAGATTATCTGCTTTTGAGTAGGGCTATTCCATCTGCTGTGTTTTCCCAGCAACCTATTGGACAAGTTGGCCTTACGGAAGAACAGGTGTTGCAAATTGTGAACTATATCTGCAACAGCTTCAATTGTCTTGTTGTGCTTATTATTTAAGGATTTTTGCAGGCTGTAAATGAATATGGTGATGTTGATATCTTCACAGCAAACTTCAGGCCCTTAAAGGCTACACTTTCTGGACTTCCAGACCGGATTTTCATGAAACTTATAGTATGTGCAAAGACAAACAAAGTCCTTGTTATCTTTTGTTTTGTTTGTTGCTGTTTTCCTTTCCCTTTTCTTCTTCCTTATCTGTTTATTTCCCTTAAACAGAAGTAAGACATCTAATAAGAAGTTACGATATCTAACTGTGGTGTTTGTATCACAATAAAAAAGAAAGAACAAAAAAAGCTATGGTGTCTGTATGACCCTGCATGTTACAGAAGTATTTTTGGCACATATAATTGAATGTTCACCCATCTTCTGTAAAATCAGTTAAAAACATTGTTTCACAGTGTCATGATTTTTTACTGCAAGTAGTTTGGAATTTTAGTATCAGTGCTAACAAATCTTACTTTCTTCCCTTTTCTCGGTGGATGGGGGACTGACAATGCGACTGCCACCCCAAAATTTTGAAAAACCTCCTGAAATATAGTAGTATGAGTTACAAAAAAAAATTGAACTATATAGGTTAGCTCCCTTGAGATTTTTTGGAGAAATTTAATACCCGCCCCCTATGATTTTTTATAATAAAAATTTAGGATTATTTTACCTTTTATTTGTAGGTAACATTTGGTTAGACACCTTTCTACTTTGCCGTGTTATAGAAAAAGCAGATAACATAATCTACTCAAATAAATAAATGGCCCATTATCATAAGTATCTCGTGAACATTTCATTAAACCTCCACTTGAGCTATACCCCCCTCCCCCCTAAAAAAAAAAATTCAATACTACCATTATGCCTTTAGGCCCCGTTTGTTTTGGGTTATAGCAAGGGGATTAGGATTACTAGTACCTTGGGATTAGTATATGGGGTGTTTGTTTTGAGGGATAGCCTTAGGACTATTAATACCTTGGGACTAACTAATACCTTGGTATTACTAATACCTTGTTTGTTTTGAGAGATAGAGAGGGTACTACTAATACCTTGGTATTACTAATACCCTTGGGGAGGGGATTCATAGTGAGGAGGTAGAGATGGTATTAGAAAAATAGTGAGGGGATTAGAAATTTTTTTATTTTTTTTATTTTTTATATATTGGAAAATTTTTTAAAAATATAATTTTTAATTTTTTATATTTTTTTATTTGTTTTATTATTTTATATAAAAATAATTTAATAATTCCTCACTACTAATCCCCTCACTATCAATCCCCTCACTACTAATCCCCTCACTATCAATCCCCTCACTAACAATCCCCTCATTATTAATCCCCTCACTATCAATCCCCTCCATTCTATCTCTGAAAACAAACGACCCTCACTAACAATCCCCTCACTATTAATCCCCTCACTATCAATCCCCTCCATTCCATCTCTGGAAACAAACGGGGCCTTAGTTACTCTTTAAAACTCTGTTAAAGGCTATAGGCAAAAAGAACTTCTTCGCACGAGTGGCGCACATACAAAGTTGTTCCAACCCACTCGATCTTGTGGAAGGAAAGAAATGTTTGTACTCTGCTACTCATTATGTTTCTATCAGTAGTGGGCCTTTACGAAATTTTGTATCATGTCATAGTTGTAGCCCAAAACCCATAGTTACCCATGTGGAGAAAATGAATTTAGGACAAACTTTTAGGGGAAAAAGGACTGGGGAAGCATCTTGCAACAACTTGGATCTTCAACTCAGTCATATTTTCAAGTTTCAATCTTTACTCTCCAACTTCAAATGCATTTCTCTTTCTTGTTCTTTTTCCTTGTTTCAATTCTTCTTCTTCTTCTACTCTTCTTATTCTCTTTTGTTCTGATTTTTCATCATATATATATATATTGGTTTTTTTCAACTCTGTCCTTCGTTTTTGATTTCTTCTTCCCTTCTCAATATCTATTTCAAACTACTTCTGTTTTAGTTTTTCCTTTTCTTATTTCTCTATTTCAGTTATCTTTCTTTCTTCTTCTTTTTTTCCCTTCTTTGCCAGACCTTCAAAAACTTAAGATATTTGTAATAATTGAACAACCAATTTAAGAAGGATGCAATTGAGTTACTTGTTCTTAGCTCGGCTTCACTTGCGGGAAACTTCTTGCCGAGGGCCTATGCACCCCTGGTAATTAGTTGGGTTTTGATCCGGACACTCCAGTGCCAATAAAATAAAAAGAATTTTTTTTTTTTGCAAGTTGGCAAATAAATTTTCTCAATAACTTCACAGAGTAAGAAAGTTGCATTCGAAATTTTAATTGCAAAACTATTAAAGACTAGTATCTTTGAACATCCCAAAATTCAAAAGTTGTCAACAATTTCTTAGTTGTGTAAAGTGTGGTAAAAACATGATGTATGATGATCCTAGAAAGTTATATGGTCACATATATTTACACTATTGTATTTTGATTATATATATTTTTTCAAATTATATACATTGAATAAAAACATCTAATAATATAGTTTGTGTTATTTTTAGCATATGGTGTTGATAGAAATTAAAATTGCAATGCACACATTCGTTATAAAATTTTTAGTTATACATACATTTGCCCCTCCAAGGTCAAAATCCTTCATCTGTCCTTGGTGACAGCCCTGGTGATTGCTTTTAACCATTTTGTCCTTGTCTTCTTAAAATGCCTGTTGAACAAGTACATATTGCATTCCTATCGTGGACTTATATAATTATCGATCTCCAAACCTAGCATTGGGCAAGGAAGAGGAAAAGTATTCATCCAAAAAGTACACTTTGTTGACCTCTCTTCTAAAAATTCTTGGTTCCCCTATTTTCTTTTCAGAAGGGTTTTGGTTGAGAAATGTGAAGGTTTCTTTTGATGGAAAAACTGCTAAATAGAGCAATAAAGTAGTCAATGCTTACGCGATCAATTGCTTCACCCTCGAAAGGGTTTAGGCCAATCACACACAAACACAATCTCAAATTCTCATAATATCAACTCTTTTTTGAATCATTTATAGGATAGAGACTCTCATTCTACAAGGACTATGACTCAAATTTAGAAACTAAGAATATTTGGTAACTACTAATCTTTTAGAACAACTGTAAGTGTGGTAGGTAAAGTTGAGTGTGTTAGGTGAGAGTTGAGTGTGGTAGGTAGATGTAAGTGTGTTAGGTGAGAGTTGAGTGTGGTAGGTGAATATGTTTTTCTCTTCTATATATAGGAGAGTCATTGTATACAAAACTATATCAATCAATAATACATCAATTTTAACATGGTATCAGAGCTATAGGTTAAGCTCTTGGTGCTCTTCGCCTTCTGGCGGGCGGCAACTTTGCCTTAACCGCCCGCCAGACCTCAACCAATTGAAACCTCCAACACATACCTTCTCTCCAATCACCGCCAATAACCACAGCAGCAACTCAAACCACTGCTAGCTCGAATTGACGCCAACTCTTCTCGCAACCAGTGTTTCATTTCGGCCTACTGCAGATACAGATTGCATCTTCGTCAACCAAAGCTTCGTTTGTTTGCTCACTGCCCGCTGCTGCAACTCCGGGCACCGCCGCCGACTTGTTCTAACTGTCTCGGTGCCGTGTATGTGTTCAGATGTAAGAACACAAGACATGTCCTCGATGGCCTCCCTTGTTTTCATCTCTGTTACATTTGCCACTATGTGTAAATCAGCAGCTCCTATATTTCTCCTTATATTTTCTTTTGCATTTAGATTGGAGTCTCCAAGCTTTAAACTTTTTGGTATCATTTTTATTATATCCATTGGAATAATGTTAACGGTTGCGAAGGAAACTGAATTTGAATTTTGGGGATTCATTTTTGTTATGCTTGCTGCTGTTATGTCTGGATTTCGTTGGACCATGACTCAGATTCTTCTTCAGAAAGAAGTATATGGTCTGAAAAATCCACTTACCCTGATGAGCTATGTAACTCCAGTGATGGCAGTGGCAACTGCTATGCTCTCTCTGATAATGGATCCTTGGGATGAATTCAGAACAAGCAATTACTTCAATAGTTCATGGCATATCACTCGGAGTTGCCTTCTCATGTTTCTTGGTGGAACTCTCGCCTTTTTTATGGTATTGACAAAATACATTCTTGTTTCAGTAACTAGTGCAGTAACTGTGACAATAGCAGGAGTTGTCAAGGAGGCTGTCACCATCTTGGTTGCTGTCTTTTACTTCCATGATCAGTTTACTTGGTTGAAAGGGGCTGGCCTTATTGCAATCCTGTTTGGCGTGAGCTTATTCAATTGGTACAAATACCAAAAGCTACAAAAGGGTGAAATAGGTGAAGAGAATGGGGCAAGGTCATCGACAACCAATCCAGCTGCAAAATATGTTATTCTTGAGGAGATGGATGATCAAGATGATGGCCACCAATCTCTCTCTCTCTCTCTGCACCTGGGCTCTCTCTTCTCGGTGGTGCATGAAAACAAACAAGGCAGCATGTTTGGTTTTTTCAGAGAGAAACACAGGGCTTTCACAAGAACATGCTTTTTTCTCTCTCCCACTTTTCTTTTTCCACCACCCACACCACACCATCCCTTTCTTTTCTTTTCTTTATTCTCCACTCACAAAACATTATCATCACCTTTTGCACCTCACCCGTTGCTCCACTTTCTTTCTCACACTCAACTCTCACCTAACACACTTACATCTACCTACCACACTCAACTCTCACCTAACACACTCAACTTTACCTACCACACTTACAACAACTAGCTCCAAATAAAATTCAAATATAACCCATGGACTATGACTACTACTCATGTCTAGTAATTATTGAAATTACCGATTTATCATAATACCCCCAAGTAGTTGAACCTAATATGATGACATAAAATTGTCCTCTTTTTTCTTTCCATGATCTTCATCATTTCTGGTTCATCTGCCTCTTGTTTCTTGATTTGTTCTTCTTGTCTGACTGATGGATTCATAAAGCACAGTTTCTCTATCTTGCTTAAATAATAGAATTTTCGTTTGATGGGGTAAAAATAATGCTAATTAAAGTTTTAAATTTTTTGCTCTGTTGCCCAATATAAAACTTCATATGATTCCCATAATGTTCGGCAGGTAGGTTGCCTTTGGAAATTGAAGGTGGGATCCCACTAATGGAATACAGAAACCTGGATGTTGACTCACAGCAGTGATCTTGGAAGGACTGTGAAGAGCATAGGATGTCGAGGCTATGTATGATTGATCCTCAGTAATGGATAAAGTTTTGAGTAGTAGTTGCTTGGTAACGTAGTGTGATTTTTGCACTTTCCTTCAAAAGACAAAAGCCAATGATATATAGTACACAGTTCATTACCCTTCCGCTCCCCCACCTTTGATCAGTGATGGTCCAAATCCAATATTGTACACTAGCAGAATGCATATTAGCCACAGATAAGTTATTGCAATGCCTACAGAGCGATGGTTTCACGATGAAGTTTTTTTTTTTTTTTTTTTTTCTTTGGGTTTGTTTTTGGGTCTATTTAATACAAATGATATATATTTCTTGCTCAAATTGAGGATTTGGATTTGAATTGAAGCGGTGCTAGGAGTCCGAAATGAGTTCCATTGTAAATCTATGGAACTGTAACTTCTAATGATGATTTTGAAACATTGGTATGTTGCACTAAACTGTATTCTGAATTTTTTATTGGTGCACTAAATCGTGTTGCGCGCGCACACACACACACACACGATTCTCTCTGTTTGTTGGTGGCGATGGAGGTGGGGTTAGGGCTTGAGGAGAAAAAGACCCACGCTCGAGCGTGGTGCATAAATTCATGGTTCACGCTCGAGCGTGAAAGTACTCGCTCGAGCATGGGTCAAATTTCTAGAAAATCCAGATTGACTTCCCAAGCTCAAAACTCGAATTCAACCTTCCAAAACACATCTCTTGGGCCCTAAAACTTGGGAAAACATAGTAAACTTGTAAAACACGAAGAATAATAATAAATTTAAAAAAAAGAAAAGAAAAGAAAGAAATGATACCACACCAGCCTGGTCCTTTTTACCTACTAAAAAAAGAAAGAAGAAAGAAGAATAAAGGTCTTATGTTGGGACATTTATTTTCCTTGTGTTGTTTGTGTAATTAGATAGTTTCGGTACAACAACAGTCAATGAAATTGAAGGGCAGGGGCCTCAGGACCCCTTAGCACAGAGTTTGGTAATTGTTAAGCCCTTCCAAGAAAGTTATAAGAAGAAGGTAATACTACAAAATCAATGATGACCAAATCAAACTTTCACTACAAACAGTTAGTTCATAAATTGACCATCATCCAGCAAAATTACAGGAAAATACTAGAAGTTCAACTGTAAAACATTTTACAAAACATATTATGAAAAACAAACTGTGACTCATGACAAATATAAAAAAAACAAAAACAAAATAAAGAAGCAGTGTTCAATCTGCAACTGAATGCCTTAAAAGCTCGCATCACTTGAAACACCAACAATGAGAAAGAGGAACGCTGCATTGACTTGGGAGCTCCATGTAATAGAATATTGCTGATATTAGCTAGATTTGCTCTCTACGCATGATGATAATGATGCAACTTGTACAATAACACTTTTCCAGCAGCATTTCCCATAGCCATGAAACCACCACCGGGACTAAAATCCAAACAACGCGGATGATGTAGTGTCCGATTTGGTGGAGGCCAGTTAGAGAACACAGTAAATGATGGAATGTGAATTAGCTTTAGACTGTTCTTCTTCATGCTCGAACTGATGGCCAAAATCTGAGCATCATTGTTGAATTTCATAAAACCCACACTAGTGGTGGAGATTTTCAATGGCCTTGATTGGCTTTCTCTTTCCCCCTAAAAACTCTTCTCTGTTGTAAACATTCGCAATCCCACTGTCTGAACCGGCTGCAAACAAAGATCCGTCTGGAGAAGTACAAAGAGACGAACCATGTATGCAACCTTCATCAATAGCCTTGTGGAAGCAAGCCCTTGTTCTCAAATCCCAGTGGTAAACATGTCCATCGCCCCCAGAACTCAGCAAATGCTGCCCATCATTAGCAAACACCAATGATCGAGCTGTCCCATTCATTTTGAATGTTCCAATAAGTTCCTTTGTTTTGGATGAAACTAACAAAATATACCCTTCCTTCCCCACAAAAGCAAGTGTATTGGAATCAGGTGAAACCTCAAAAACTTCCAAGCTCTTCTCTTCTCAGCCAATTAGTGGGCCTATTTTATTTACCGTAGCTTTCACTAGATTAAAACTATAGAAAAACTTTCTTCTTCCTGATGCTATTACTTGAGATCCATCAGGTAAGAAACACGCCTTTTGAATGGGACAATCATCTAGAAAAATGCTTTGTATTTTGGTGTTCCTTTTGCCATCTAATTGAAAAAATCTCAGCTTTTTTTCTAATCCAGCAGTAAGGAGCAATTGAGCGTTTCTGTGGAACTGAACTGAATTTATTGGAGAATTGGAAAGATCATCTGCATTTGCTTCTACTAATCTTGAGTACTCAAGGAGTCCAGGCAATAGCTTCACACTGCTCTTCACAACAAGGTCCTCATTTGTTCTAAGAATGTTGTCAACACCTTCAACATCATTATAACTGCGAGCAAGAACTGCCACATTTTCTGTAATAACCCTCACGCTATCCTAACCATACTCATATGCATTCGTGTGAGTCTGTCTTGTAAGCTTGCGTTTCTAGTCTTGTCCTTGTACGTTTAAGTGTTACAGCATGTTTTGCACCTTGCTTGGTGAGAGTTTAGCCGAGGTCGTCTTCATGTTTAGAATTGTCGTGGAACTACTTTGTTTGACCTCCACCTTTGCCCCGACATATTGGCCGAGATGTCATTATCTAGGCCGAGGCATTCATCACCAAGGCCGAGGTGTGAATTATCTAGGCCGAGATGTTACTTTTGCACCTAAGTGATCTTGTCCCGGAAAGGTATGACCTAGACCGAGGTGTGGCACATCTAGGCCAAGGTGTGGCACAGCTTAGTCAAGTGTTGTCCTTCCTAGCCGAGGTCATTATCCCCTACTTGCCGATGTATTGTCCTTAGCCGAGGTCATTACTCGCCGGAGTGCCCATGCCGTCTTGCTTGTTGAACACACTTTGTCATAGTTTTGTCTTGTCACTCAGCCACCTTTCTGTGTAGCACCAACCAGCCGCTGCCACGTGCCTCTGTAGAGGGTTAAGTCAGCCAGCAGACTTAGAAATGTATCATTTGCTATATGTCTTTGTTATATCGGTGTATCCGGGCTAAGCAATTAAAGAACAAGATCGACTATTACAGTTATGTTCTACATTGCGAAAAATGAAACGGGGAAGAGTATACCTTGGAAGCGCCGTGAGACAGATGTGACTTTGGCTCACGCAGTAGAAGCTCTGGTGGTACGCCCCTTGCAAAACTCCTGAACTAGCGAAGTCCGTCAGGAGGCAGCATGTGAATCGCCGGCCTGTAGGTCGCCAGGTCGAACGGTCGAACGCTCAAAGGCAAAAGCTCGGCCTCGGGTTCCATCTCCTGCTCTGGAGGAGCCCCACCCTGTGGTATGTCGTCTACCATCTCGAAGAGAGTGCAAAAATGGCCGGAAGTACGAAAACCGGGCAAGAATGTGAAAAGTCAACTGAAAAGCCAACCCCGAGAGGGTGAAAAATGGACGGAAAGCTCGGAGTGCGGAAAAAGCACGAGAATCAAGGTAAACTTGAGGAAAACAAACCCCGAGTGGTGGAAATCAAGAAAGAGACACCGAAAACAAGTTTTGTTCGATTCAAAATTTCCGAAACATGAAGGTATTCGCGAATCGAACGACGAAACGAGCTCAAAAACCGAGAAAAATGGTGGATCGAAGGTTGGAGAATAATCTAGAGAGAGGGGAGAGATTTTCGACCAAGAGGCAAGTGAAGAAATAAGGGTTTGAGCCCTATATTTAAAGACCCGTGGCCGAATTGACAAAACTGCCCGACACAGGCATTTTTGGCCAGTTGGCCACATTGTTGGCCGGTCGGCCAAATATTTGGCTGATGGACTTATTTTGTGGCCGGTGGACTCTCCTGATGGTCGGTGAATCTCCTACACCCTTGTTTGGGTCAGATATGTGGTTTGGGGCCTCTATTGCTCAAGATAGTGCAAGGAACTGCATTTTGAAGCTTGACCAGTCTCTGTGCCATGTCTTCTGTGCATAGCACTCGAATACGTGCAAGGTGTATCCTTTTCGATGTGCTAAGGGACTATAAGCATTTGTAGCACAAAGTTTGAAAGTCCGTACGTGCTAAGGGACTATAAGCATTTGTAGCACAAAGTTTGAAAATCCGTACGTGCTAAGGGACTATAAGCATTGGTAGCATAAAGTTTGAAAGTCCGTACGTGCTAAGGGACTATAAGCGTTGGTAGCACAAAGTTTGGAAATCCGTACGTGCTAGGGGATTCTAAGCATTAGTGGCACAAGTCCTTAGTGTCCGGGGACTATAGTGCAACGACACCATCGAATTGAGATATCTCCCTTGTCTTGCCTTGTCTTGTCTCGTTTGCCACTGACGGTTTACCGTGTGGGTTTTGTTTGCCGAGATGTCATCACTTGTAATATAATGATGTTAGTAAGCATCCTTTGAAACTTGACAGATTTACTAGATGGACTTGGTTCATCCTTTGACTTGC